TGCTAAACACAGGTGATGAAAAATGAGAGGTGACATGTTAAAGTTGAGACAGAAACTTACTGAAACAGGAAATAAGCAAATATGAGACTCAACAAAGAGGCAGAAACACAATCCATGGAGGGCCTTGGAGGCTTGGAAGATGAGCTCAAATTTCACCTGATAAATGATGAGGGATCCATGGGCAAAATTCTGGAAAGATAACACTAGAGAGTAGGAGAGAGATGTTAGGAATGGGAATTCAGTAAGAAGACTCGCAACAGCCAGAAGAAATTCCACTGGTTTTTTAACTAAGACATAGCTCCGTGGATAAAAAGAATGTAGTTAAAAGAGATATTGACATAGTAGAATTGACAGTAGAATTGATGACTGTTTAGAAAAAAGAAAATGGAGATAGCTGCTGACATCTAGAGTTTAAATTACTAAAACATTAATTTCCCTGTGGCAATCCAAATGACACAGTTATTGACTTATGTCATAAATTTATATTTTACATGAATATGCATGATAATTCTTATCATCACAAGAAAGCATAATATGTTAATAATTAAGACACGAGACGGAAAATTAATATGCAGAGGAATATTGGGATCACCGGGAAGGATTTTAGGGCTACAGCTAGACTGTTTAAAATGTACTTTGAGGTGTTTATACTTGATTTGGTTCTTTTGAGTTGAGATTGCTTTAACTCAATATATCAACAATAAATATAACCATCATAAAGCTCTAATGGGTTCAAAAACTAAATTTTCAACCAAGAGTAATTGCTGAAAGGAGAAAAATGGTGTCTAGATAGGGGAGTAATGTCATAAGATTATAAAGTAAAGAACAGTGAAAATGCTCACAGAAAAGAATTTCTGCAGCTCCAGAAGCATAAAAAGATGTGAACATTTAATAGAAGATAAACAGTACAAAAATTGTTTTAAAATAAGGACTTGTGTGGGAAATTTAGAGTACTGATGGAATAGCAGTACTAGAGGAAATGGGAAAAGGGGATATAGGTAAAAATAGGGCCCGTGTATGAAGAAAGGATGTTGGGCTTCATTAAATAGATAGAGTGTGGGTATATTGTAGAAATTGGTACTTTGGTTGGGTTTATACCAAGTGAAAATTAAAACTGTATCAAACTAATCAGTATCAATACCTTTAATATGAAGCCCAAAGCCAACATAAGGAGAAACTATAATTGTCAGAGAAATGTCTTATATTCAGTAGTCATTTAGATGATTGACAGTTATTTCAAGGGTCAATTAAAATGTTAACACAACCAGAAAAACTTTTATGAATCCAATTCACAGCTTCCTTTTATAGCTCAAACATGAAGAAAGGTTGTGAAAGTCTAAGCACTATGATCTTACATAGTGGCAAATGACTATGATACTGATAATAATAGGTCCTACTCCAATCACTAGGAACTTTGCTGATAATCCCATTTCTTTATGGAGCCATATGGAGAAAGAAAAGAACAAGAAATACATAAACACTGAGATTTCATAAATTGACTGAAGGAAATGTTGCCAAAGCCATATTTCCAGGCTATAATTCCTTTTCTGTCTTTTCTAACTAAACTCGTTCTAATTTCCTCATCCATTCATAGTAGAAATAGCCTATTGATTTCTCTTCCTAAACATATAATAATTTTTTGAAAATGCATATAATACAATGATAAATGGAAAAAACCCAGAATAATCATGTAAGGCATAAACATGTCAATATATTAAAAAGATCTCATGTTGGTTTTATCTTTATAAAAAAATCATATAGAATTTTAGTTAAGAATTAATGTTATATAATGAAAAGATTGTATGTATACTCTTTATATCATTTATATAATGTTACATAATAAATATATTTTAAAATTATCATATTTTTTAAGAGAAAAATTGTAAAAATATAATTAAGCAGCATCCATTTTAGAAGAAGTTTTTATCTTAGTGATCAACCTCAAGTCTACTTCCAAAGTATTTTGGTTTTGATGCTGTGATTATACAAAAAATAAACAATAGCTGGTACACATTTTTAGATAAGCAGTATTATTCAAAAAGTGTTCATAATACTTCTTCTGAGTCCATTCGTTTTAAAAGAAATGTTCTCACATAAGTTTTCTAGTGGAATCTTTACATTTTGAAATAAATCAGATGAAAACATATAGTAAGGGAGGGAGGTAGTGAAAGAGGAAGTACTGGAAACTGATATGAAGCAAATTATATTCTGTGCATATAAATTATGTCAAAATGAACTTGAATATTATGTTTAACTATAATACACTGATAAACATATTTTTAAAACATAAACACTATCTCATAAGAGCTTTATGTAAGAACTTTTGTGTGTGTGTGTGTGTGTGTGTGTGTGTGTGTGTGTGTGTATGCCACTTGAGAAGCATTTACGACTATACCAAAGGGAAAACTGTTATACTGAAAATTCAAAAAATCCGTGATCCGAATACAATACCTAGACAAAGGTTGATTTTCCCAGCATTCCATTTTTATACTATCATTCATTTACTACCACAAAATCATCTGCAATTGTAAAAGAGGAGAACAGAGGGAGAATAGATTCCTGACTAGAAAGATAGAACCCAAATATGTATTTCTCCTAACATCGTGTCTCTTTTTCCATTTTCTGCAGTTTAAGTCTCTCTAAATGGTTCTACCTCCCTGAACAAGCAATTAGTACACTTTTCCTCATAACTTTTGTCTGTTAATAGATTATGTAAAAATGAACATTAGTCTGCAAGTTATTACAAGTTAGGGAATACTTCACTTCAGAGGGTGACACATAGACTCATATAGAACTCATGTATAGGTTCAGTGCCAAAATAATAATATAAGTAATAAGTAGTATATAATAATAATAATAATAATAATAAGTAGTAGACTAATATTTCTAAGTAACACTGGATTGTTGTTTATGATTTTTTTTATAAAGAAGAGCACTAAGCCTTGGAGAAACTAGTAAAATTCTCAGAATATGAAAGTGTTAAGATTGTCATGATTTTTATTGACTTAGTTTTACTAAGACCAAGCAATAATAGTTTTTGAATAGAAGTGATGATACCCATTACAAAAAATTAAAGAATTATAAAGAAAGCTAAATCACTATGCACAGGATTATAATAACCATTTGAAGGATAATATACATATTAAATTTAAAAAAACAACATTGTATTAAGTTTCAAAAGTTTGATTCAAGATCTTTAAACTAGTAAAACAAGTTTGGAATTCTTCTAAACTATATCTCATTGTAAATATGGGAATACTTTGGAAGAAAATTTTTTTTACTTTATTTTTTTATTAGTTATTCAAGGTAATACAATGATCTTGACATATCATACATTTGATTCAAATAGGATATGAATTGTCATTTTTCCACATGTACAGATTGTAGGATCACATTGGTTATACATCCATGTGTATACATACAGCAATCCTAGTGTCAGTTGTATTCTGCTGCCCTCCCTCTCCCCCCTCCCCTCCCCTCCCCTCCCATCCCTATTGTCTACCATTCTACTGTGACACTTATCTCTCTCTATATATATATTTTTCTTCCCTTCCCCCTCACACCATCGTATATGTATTTTGTGAACTCATGATATAAACCATAAGATATATCCTAGACTGAAGACCAAATTCCTAGAAGTAGTTAACAATCTCTTTATAAATAAAGAAGTTAAATTCCCCCTCTTATATTATTTCTTTAAAAATTAAGATGGATATAAAATATTTTCAAATCCTAGAAGATTGTTTTTTTGATTAAAAGAAAACCAAAGTCTGGGGTTTTTATTTGTTTGTTTTGTTTTGTTTTTCCATCCAAAAGTTGGTGTCATTTTTTTCTTCATAGTGTCTATATGAAGGTACTCAATTTACTCAATTTCCTTTTAAAGAGAAAAAACAACTTTCCATTCTTACAAACATTCTTTGAAGCTCTGATTGAAGCAATTAAATGAAAAAATGTCAATCATAAAGATTTTCCAGATACAAGAACAGAGAATTTTATGTTTGTAAAATTTCAAGTTAGACTAATATTTCTAAAAGCAGGTGACAATGACCTATGAAATGTAAATACTGCCCAAAGGTGGAGCTATTTCATAAATTGTAGCAATCAATTGGTCTATAGAAAATGGATTTAATGAGAAACAGCAGACATTCATAGATTTTTAAAATGGTAGACATTCATAAATTTTTAAAATTACCTGGTTCTGTAATGGTCACTAGCCATAGTTAGCTACTGAGTGACTAAAATTTGAATTAATACATTTGATCTCAAATCCCTGCCAACTTTGAAAGACTCAGGAGTAAAAAGAAAGAAAACTATCTTATCATGGTTTTAATTTTGATCACCTGATTAAAGAACAGTATTTTTGGTATTTTAATTCAAGTAAAACAAATTATACACATGATTTTTTAACCTGTGTTTTAAGCAGTATGTTTTTAATATAGCTATTAGACATTGTTAAAGTATTATGTGACTTATATTAGTTTTTCATTGGAAGTATTATATAAACAAGGAAATTTAAATAATATTGAGCTCTTCTTTATACTTTATACATTTATACATTTTCTATTTTTAAACTAGAACTTGAAAGTGACAAATATGAATATTGGTTAATCCTGAGCCTCAAAGAATGAGTAAGCACAAGGCAGATTCGTGTATAATGCAAGTTACTTATATAGCACCAGCTATCTAAAAACATCATGATGAAGAGAAATTATATTGATAGGTATAATCAAAAGAATATTCAACACTTTCATACTGATTCATTCTCTCATTTGTTCTCTATATGGCATTAATTAATTTAATCAACAATTTCACATTGTAATATCTAAATGATAATTGCAATGCTTAAAAGTGATTTAGAAAATTGTCAATAAAATTATTTGCAGTGAGTAGCTCTAATATCATCCCTTCACTATCAATAAAACTGAAATTTGAATCCAGAAAATTTAATAACTTATGCAATACTATTTAGAAGCTTGCAAACTTAAAATTGTTATTCATACCGTCATAAATCCATCCAGCAAACCTGAGTCAGGTTTTGGAGGTGCTTGCAACCGTTCCATTGACCACTTTTCAATGATGGAAGAGACTTGGGTGTTTTCTGTATTTAATATTCTGAACCCTGTCATATTAACACCACTGTATCGGTAGGGCTCTACATCAAGAGCAAATAGGTCCTGAAAGACAAATTTATTTCTGTTATTAATAGAATGCATTCACAAGCATATTTTGAAATAGTCATTTATTCTTGTTCCCCTTAGAATATTAAACACTATTGTGTCTCAAGTGGCATTAAATATCACAAATGACCAACGTTTAAATAGGTTGCCCTCATGCTTTGATGATACAAATACACATACTCTGTACATAAACATGTATATATACTTCACTTTTATAATTTATTTTTAAGACTTGCAAGACGTTTTTTCTTCACATTAAGGACAGCTTGCCTTTATTTTTTGTGCGATCATGATCATGTTTTACTTTAAACTAATTTTGTTTATGCCTTGCTTGCTTATGTAGTTATTATCATTTGTTGGTTCTGTTTTGTCTGGGGTTTTTTGTTTGTTTGTTTTTAAGAAGCAGATTATGAAATGATATTTCTAAGTAATAATAAGTATAATAAAGGCAAGTAAAGAATTTAAGAATTATTAGATTGTTGGTTGTAGAAATCTTGTGCTTCCTTTGTCTCATGGCTTTCTGAGGACCTCACCATAAGGAGCACTGCTTCTGTTGCCCTCTTCAGTCCACATAGAGTGAATGCTCTTGTTTTGCCCTTTACTTTCCCAGGAGTTATAAGGCCACAGCTATCAAGGGACTTGGAAGTCATCATGAGAACACACAGCATGTGGGACTTCTGCCCTCTTTCTAGTTGGCATCAGATTTTCTGGACAATATTGGAACCAAGGCAAGACAAATGCCACTGGACCTCTGCACAGCTTGCCTGGGACTTGCACAGCTACACAGGCTGGATAACAAGAATACAATTAAGTGGAACTGGCATTGCCTGAATTGTGCTCTGTGCTGAAGAAAAAAAAAAAAAGTAAGGAGTCTTCAGTTTTCTTCACTACTTATTGTTGATACTCTGTCTTATGAAATAAGATGTATTCAAACTGTAAGTAAATAGTGCATGGTAATATGAAAAGAACAAAAGAAAAGAAATGATAAATGCTGGAGGAGTCAGAAGCAAGACAGATAACTTTGAAGTCTAAGGTGAGGGAAAACTTCACAGAACAAATAGAATCTGAGTTGTGATAGGGCATACCCCCAAATATGGGGCATTGGAATACTGAATGCTTTAAACTGAAGGAAACTGAGAAAACTGAAGAGCAGGAAGGTCAGTCTCTGACTTTCTAACACCTTTCTCCCTTGATGTGTGTCATGAAAGAATTTCTTGACCTACATTCCTGAAGAGTAGGTCACAAAACCTTCATTGCAGAGGGATCCTGACTAATACTTGAAAGTACAGAAGAACTTGAACAAACAGGCCTTGCTAAATTGCCCACCGTCATATTACCAGGAAACTGTATCATCTCCTTTTTATTCAATCATATTTTTACACAACGGTCCACTCTTCATCAAACCAAAGCACTTAAATAGAGAGACTTCTCTGTTTCTTTGGGTTTTAATTTCTGAATGTTTTCACATCACATACAATTTATATTAAATAAGTTTGTTGCCTTTGTCTTGTTAATCTGTCTTTTGTTATGGAGTCTCAGCCATAAACATCAAGATAGGTGATTATTTCTTTTTTCCCCCTATATCTGCCATTATGTAATGACCAGACTCTGACAAAAATGGCATGGACCATGTGAAAATGGACAAAAAAGGGGGGGAAATGTAATATCTATTCAGGAAACATATCTGGATCCATTTGGTTGTCAAAGAGAATCCATAAAGAAGAATCAGAGCAAAAGAAAATAGGGAAGTTAGGTTACAATAAAAGTATAAAGGGCTTTCAATTATAGGCCAATTTATATCTACATTAAAGTAGTTGTTTCCTTCTCTTTCTCAAATTAAGAGATGTTTTTGATTTTCTCAAAATATTATAACTTTGGTAGAGTTGTGTTGCAACAGCATTAAAATGTAATTTACTGATAAGAGAAGAATTTCCCTTCCTTTTCACCTACCAACTACTAAGTGTCTTACAAGCTATAAAAAGTAAGGTTAGCCTTGCTATTTATTGGTAAAATAGAAACTACTATATGAAGAATCTTCATTAGAGGAAAGAGTTATTATCATGAAAAGCTATGGAAATCCACTGAATTTTGGTAATTTGATCTGGTTACTTCAAGACTCCCAAAAGTAAAAAGAGCCTTTGAAATACTTGAATCAACAGAGAAAGCAATGATTAAAACTGATCACTGTGGGAATAGAAAAGATGGATGCTAGAGACCCTTAAAAAATCAGTAGAAGTTTGTGGTGGATGCAGGAGTCAGACACAATGAAGTTTTAAAGGAAATCAAGAGGAATCAATTTGGAGGACAATACATTAAGATTCAAATTTGTTGAAATTACCTTAATAGGCAGAACAGTTAGAATTATTTAATAATATATGATAATTAAGAATATTACTTATGAACATTGAGAACTCATTTGAACAAAGGTATTAACTAGAACTCTAAACACATACTAATTCTAAAGAAAGTAATTGAAGAGGAAAAAGAAAATAGAATGAAGATACCTTTTTTTTTTTTATTGAGACCCAAATTTTAAAATGCTCTCATATTTTGGAAATGGGCAGGAAAGAATTACTTAAAGAGACAGAGAGCTCCTTCACAGAGGATTAATAAAGAAATAAAGCTAAAAGTAAGTGGGTTTGATTAAAGGGTAAAGTCAGATTTTCATGTATAATAAGAAAAAACATGTGAAGACAAAATATAAAGGTAACATTTCATTTTCTAATTGCAAATTAAACCATATTGACTTTTAAAAAATCAAACTAAACATGGGTAAAAATAAGATAGAAAATTTAATCTCCTCAAAGGGCAGCTTCAATAAACCTGATTTTCAAAAAATGAATAGAGTTGAGATAATGACATAAGAATTTGTGTTCTAAAACATTGATCTTTTTCCAGCAAACTAATTTTAAAATCCATTATCTTCTGAAAGCCCTCCGAAGCAATATAAAAATATGTAATATTTTGAATTGATACCTGAAATGATATTATTTTGAAAACATATCCTACCACCAAAATTATTAGTTCTTTTTTATAAATCCTTGTGGATTTTATAACTACAAATGTGCTAATCATTATATTACCTCTTCACAAAAGCACACTTTTCCACCTAAAAAAAATCATAATAATAAAATTTAGAACATTACTTTTGTGTTTTAATAAATTACTTACCAAAGTGGTAAAGATATAGTGGTAGTATTCTGTCATCATTCCCATAGCTAATGCCTAAAAAATAAAAAAATGATCAATATAAATATTAATATAGAAGATATACCTAGCATAAAATACATTATGGCAGTAATATAGATGAGCACACAATAGTAGAATGTGAAAAAGAATCAACCTACAATATTCATGTTACATCCAAATTTGGATTAAATTGAACCTTTTCCCAGTAGTTAAAAATGATTAGTGTTTACTAAAGGAATTTTGCTTGTTTATTTTTTTTAACAGTTGAAAAATCAATTATTTATTGAATATTAATTCATAATGAGCATACATTTCCTTAAAGAATTTGAAAATAAATCAATTTGAATTTGAATTACTTGTGCCACTAAATATTTAGTGCTTTAAACCATTTGTTATTCAATTTGACTGGCAATTACTTACTTACAATGTAGCATGTATACTTTTCAATGATAAGTTGCATTCAAATATCTTGTTCAAAAAATATATTTTACAAAGAAACAGTGTACATTCTATACATTATAAAAGAACTAGTTGTTTTATATACAATTGTCGGGCTTATGTATAATAAAACAATTTATCATTTGTTGACCTGATTCAACATTGTTATTATTAATAATAGTTTACCTGTTGTTTTGTTTTACTTTTCTACTCTCTTTATTAATTTTAGACTATCAATCTTAGAAAAGGTTCTTATGGGTCCAAATGTCCAACACCAATGAGAAATGTCCATTTTCCTCTCTGAAAATAGAGGATACTTCGAAAATGTTTATCAATGAACAATATTTGGCGATGACAAATGAAAGTGTATTTGTCAACTGAATGAAGAGGTCTTAAAAGGAAATAAATATTCTCAGGTGCATATAATAGTCTTCCGCAAATTACTAACTACAAAAACTCTTTTAGTTAGTAGTGAGCAGCCCTAGCCAAAGCTTTTGAGTTCTATGTATAAAATGCTTATAGGTAGGCATTTACCAATTAACTAGAATAGAATAAAATTTGTAATTTTACAACATAAGCCATTCAGTTAAGAAAGGGTAGATATTTGTGTGTATGGGGGGGAACATATGAAGTACTTTTTTAAAAAGAGAGAAACATTGGTTAATAAAAACACTGGTTTATTTATACAGAGAGTGTTCATTGACTGTTTCTGCTGGATAATTGCAGAGGGTTTCTCCTCTTTATAACCACTCTATGATACCTCAGTATTGTCTTTGATTCTTCTTTACCAATTCAACTGGTATAGAAATAAAGATAACTGAGAGAAACAGTGACTCAGATAAATGGATAAAAAACAATATGTGATGCCTAAAATGTGTTTGGTACTATTCTAAGAATATTGAATATTTAAACCTCATAAAACCCCCTATGAAATAGGTTCTATTATATCCATTTTACAGTTGATGAAATGACAACTATATAACAACGATGAATAAACTGCCCAAGAACACAAGATAGTGAGTAAACATGGACTTCAGGCCTTGGGGACACACCTATCCTACCTAAAAAAAAAAAAAATGCTCCGAGATTTTTAAAAAATTACAGCTGAATTTATATCTTTAACTGCAAGGAGTAGAGAGTGGAAAATTAAATCTGTTTTTAGTCAGGAATTATGATTAGTGCTGGCAAAGTTAAGCTGTCTTATAAAAAAGGGATTGGGTGAGGTCCCAGTCTCTGGCTGGTCTGAGGGAAGGGATCTGTTGAATAAAATTCAACAGAGCCTAACAATATTTGGAAAACTACAGTTTGACTCAGTCCAAATCTTGGCCAGAATTTGAAGCCCAATTCCAAGGTTCAGCAGACAAGGTACCTGAGATCTGATTCATAATGGTCTTCCAATTTCATTTTTAAGTGCTCCAAACCAATCTATTCCATTTTTATTTTCTTCTTTTACATTTAGAATCTATGTCATTTTATAGAATGACATATTTTATATTCTCAAACAGTTAGATTCATTTTTAGAACCTATGAATTCTAAAAATTTTCGTTTTCCTTGATAATTTGAAAACCTTGGCATTTCAAACCTGTTTAGGAAATTGTGCTTTGGTGATGGGTAGAAAGGGATTGAAGAGATGGTGGGCAAGAGGGGTGGCCAGCTTCCGATATGGGTATTCTGCACTGGTCACAAGTTTCTTCATCTCTGTGAGAAGAAATTTAAAATGGATACCTGGGGTCTGTTTGTGGCTTTCATTAACTTTCTCTCAGCCTTTGATCTTGAAAACAAGAATCAGTTATGGGTTATGATATATGATCTATAAGAAGCTATAATAGAAATAGAAGAGGATAGTTATTTTTTTATTAAGTACCTTTACTGCAATCTCACTCACAAAATAAAAAACAGGGTTATAGTCTTAAGATTTGTTTAAAATAATAATAATAACAAAAGAACTTGCTCTGGATCTTCTTTTAATTTTATAGCATTATGTCTCACTACTACTTTTGAATGAATTGTATGCATACCTCAAAACACACTAAAAAAATAAAATCAGTGTGTTTTTATGTACTAATAATGAATTACCTCAACAGAAAATTAGTTGTTCTATATATCACTTTCCTAAAAATATCAACAATCAGTTTTCCTAAAATAAAAATAACATTATAAATCTCCCAAATTAAGCTGATTTAGTATTAGAAATATTGTATGAAAATTGCATATTTAGTTATCTAGGTATATAATTTGCAATCAACATATTCTTTGGGTTATATCCAAACTTTATACTGCTCAAGATTTAAAATGAAGAGGGGGCAGGACTCTGTACATATCTCTTTAGTTTAACTTTATTTTACTTCTTGCTATTGTAGTTATTTGCATCAGCTTTTCATTTTTTCTAGACTAAAGGTTTTTTATTTCACACTTTTTGATCTAGACTTCTAATTTCCTGATTGCTATTTTTTTTTCTCTGTGATAGGATGTCTTTGTGAGGTTTTACTTCAGAGCATCTTGACTCTCCCCTACGGGATTCTCTGACAAATCTGGACAAAGGTGGAATCATCTGCTGTTGAGGCATGCCCCAATTAGTACACTCAACTTGCCTCAGAGGAAAATCTAAAAAAACCACAAGCTCCACTCACTTTTAAATTTTTCAGACAAGAAAACTCCAAATTGTTGCTTGATATTTGGTAATGCTCAGTTAGTTTAAATAGATAATTTAAATAAACAAAAAAGCCAACAAGTTTAACTTGATTAAGGCCATCTCTTTTTCTGGCTACATCTAACATTTATTCTTAAATGAGACCAGACTAGCTGACAGCTCATCTATTTCTGCTATTCAACTCCTATACTATCTCTTATGGTTTAGATGTGGTATCTCCCAAAAGTTCATGTGTCAGACAATGTAAGAATGATTGGGTGGTGTCCTTAATCTAATCAGTAAATGAATCCCTAATAGGTACCTGAGTAGTAACTGGAGGCAGGGGCTGGGGATGGCTGGAGGAAGTGGTTCATTGGGGTGTAGGTATGGGGTATATATTTTGTATCTGAAGAGTGGGTCTCTCTTTCTGCTTCCTGATCACCAGGTAAGTGGCTTCCCTCCAACATATTCTTCCACCATGAGGTCTTGACTCACCTCGGGCCCCAAGGAATGGAGCCTGCTGTCAGTGGAATGAGACCTCTGAAACTGTGAGACCCCAAATAAACCTTTGCTCCTTTACACTTGTGCTGGTCAGGTCCTTTAGTCACAGCAGCAAAAAAGCTGACTAAAACATTATATCTTCCAGGTTCCAACCTTAGCTGATGCTAAGGAATCTCAGAAAAAAAATGCATAAATCATAAAATAGATTTCTATTAAATGTACTGCCATGTTTACTAAAAGGAGGGCATTTGTTTTCTTCTTGAATTGGTTTCTAAAATAACTGACATTCAAATGTGAGACAAATACTTTCTGGGATGAAGGAAGTTAAAAAAAAACATGCCACCATGTATGTGGCCTGCCTGTGTTACTGGTCTTCAAAGCATAAGTATTGTATGATAATGTCACTCCAGTTGCACTTAACTTTCATAGAATTTTTGTTGGGGGGGGGTAGATACTGGAGATTGAACTCAGGGGCACTGAGCCACATCCCCAGCCCTATTTTGTATTTTATTTTAGAGACAGACTCTCACTGAATTGTCTTGGTTTCTACTGAGGCTGGCTTTGAACTTACCATACTCCTGCCTCAGCCTCCTAAACAGCTGGAATTATAGGTGTGCACTACCGTGCCCAGCAACTTTCATAGTCTTATTTTACCTTTGTTCTGTTTTTCATTGACAAGTTATACTGTCTTTCTGTTGAATATATTTAAATATTGTTTTAGTTCTGCCTTCATTTTGCACACAAACAGGTTTATATAATAAAATAAATGTAAAATAATGGGTATACCCAATAGAAGGCAGGAGGCCAATTCTATCATTAAAGGTTAAAGCTATGTTTATTCTCCAGATAGCAAAATAAGTTAGTTACTTCTTCAAAGAAAATATAACTGATCTTTTACATATTTGTAAGAAGCCTAGATAAAGAGGACAAAGTTCTGTCACTGGAATAGTAGAGTGCTCTGGGAGCCAAGAAAGGTCTGCTTTCCAAATTTGTATATTCTAAATGTGACCAAGAATTGTTTGGAAATTATGTGAAAAATAAATTCTGACTCTAGATTTTAGTGGTGAGTTTATTGCATCATTTTATTTATTACTAAATCAAAACCAAAATCACTCATATGCTTTGTTACCCAAACATAAACTAGAGTAAATTTTCAAATCAAATTAAATATTTTACTACAGTGAAAGCAACACTCATTTTGGAATACAAACATCTGCTTAATAAACTAACCATGTTATAATAGGCATTTGTTGTCAGTAGTTATATTTAATGGGATATAATTTGTCATTTGAATCTGTATAACTCTCCAGCAGACATTTTATCCTATGCATGAGAGATCTGAAAACAGCTGATTAATCCCAAGCCATGTGATGTCACCCCAGGATGCATGAAAGAAAAATCTAAGGAGTTAGGTTCAAACCCCTCTGTACCACCTAGTAAGTGTATTGCCTTCTATTAACCATTTTAATCCACAACTTCAGTTCCCTCACATGCAAGAGATAGATGAACAATAATTTCTATTTTTCATGTTGGCTGTACAGTCTAAATGGTGCTTAGTTTCATTGTTTTACTGCTCCAAACTGTTTTGTTTGACCAATTTAGAAGTGATCTTTTAGGTAAGCATAGCTTTATTCTGGAATAAATATAGATGAGACATTAACCACTCTGCTAATTCCTTGCATTATTCAAATTTCTCATTCTGAGATGAGATTCAGATTTTGTGTGTAAAGTGGATATAGTCCTTATTTCTTTTGGTTGTGGTGATGATGAAATAATATCAAATATATAAGGCATCTCTCTATTTTATCTTTTTTTTCTATTCTGGTAACAATGGATGAGTTATTCAATCATTGACTATTAATAGTTTATTCCTTCATTTCAGTATAAAACAGAAATATCTATCTCATTATTCAATAATCTGATTAACAGTATTGTAGGCATTTGAATATATCCTCAAAACTTTAAACTGTTTTGATAAGCATGTATGTTTACATTACTTGTCTTCAAGACAATTAATTAAAAGCAATTTCCTAACTTTGTATTATAAAATTTCATGGAGGTTATTTCTCTGGTTTTTTAATTGACTGTAACAATGACATTGTATTTTTTTTTAAATCTCATACTTCAAATGCAAGTATTTGGAGACTAAGGATTTAATGTAAGTAATGCAAAATTACCTGTTTTAAAATGCCTGCTGCCATTTCATGGCTACAGTCAAAGATTACATGGAATTCTTTGCCTCTCTTCATTTCTTTCAATAAGGGTTTTGCATCCTTTGTATCAGCAGGCAGTTGACGGATTTTAAGTCGAAGATTATATCTTGATGGAGCTTTGATGAGTTCTTGCAAACGAATGAGACCTTTAATTAAAAAAGAAAAAAGGAATATTGGAGGCAAATCAGAGTGGGCCATAGAATCACCAAACACTAACTATGATGCATGATTTTCTTAATTATGTCCAGGTGCATTTCATGGTCCAACCATTGAAATTCCTATTTTAATAAACTTCAGGTCCTCAGTTAATTTTGCTACAAATTCTGTAAAGTACTTTTCAAATCATAAAAGAAGTAAATAACTATAATTTAATGTAAATAATTTAAATTTATAGAGGGATTTAGAGTAAAATTTTCCTCAGTACCCTAATTCCACTCCCCATTGAGTTGTCACTATTAATAGCTTCAAATATCGTTCTTCTATAAGAATTTCTATGCACTTACACACACATAAATAGAGTTTTATTTTGTATTTTATATTAATAACTGTTTTTTACAACATCCTAGAGGTCCTTGTAAGTCAGTGACTATAGTTTTAGTTTGACTTAATGAACACTGTTTCAGTTTGCACACATCTTATTTCTTTTTTGTCTTACTTGCAAGTAATGCTGTGATAAATATACATGTATACACAATCTGGTGAATATGTAGAAGTGAAGTAAATTTTCTTAATAAAACTGGTTCTAAATAACCTGAACCATAATAAATTATTTTAATAAATATAACTGACATTCTTTTGTTTGTTTTCTAGATATAATATTTTAAAATATGTAAATACAAACACGTAAATATAACTTTAGACATTGGTAAAGTAGGCTTTCTCATAGAGAAGTTAACTCCTGATTAAATTTCAAATATATCAAATTAATGGATACATTAATAGATCATGGAAATGTGATGTATTTTAAAACAACAGAGACAGATTACTGAATTTATTCCTTCATGTAATTTTCAAGTAATGAAGCACATTTAAGAACTGATATGTAAGACCCACTCTACAAAATAGTGAAAAATTTTAAAAAAATGATTTTTAATTCTGTTATAACTTGGACAAAGTTAAGCAATTTCCTTTTCTCCTTCTAGTCTTCATTTTTGTTTATCTTTCTTTTTAGAATATTACATATGTATATTTCTACTTGTCTAGTACTACCTCCCCTAAGACAGTACCATCATCATGACAGTATAAAACAAGTTATTTTTAAATAGCTAATCTGGATCCCCCCATTTATGTATATGGATATGTATGTAAACATGTCACTTAACTCTATTTGGAAACATGAATAAGGACATACCTTATTAGGACTAAGAATATACTTTGTATTTAATGACCACATGAGATCTTGAGAATAAAAATTAATTCTGAGTGTTTTTAACTAATAACAAATATTTTAAATATTTGTTTTATTGCTAATATGAGTATCAATAAATATAGCACGTATTACAAATAATTTTGCATATCCACAATAATTAAGACTGTTTAGTGGCACTAAAGCCAAAATTCCTGAAAAATTGCTAATTTGTATTAGACTTTTTTTTCCTGCTGTTAATTTCTATAATTCTAAAAAATATTCATGTAAATGTAGACTGAACAAATATCAACCTTAGCAAAGTAAAGAAAACTACCTCTTGCCTACTGATCTCACAAGATTGTTTAAGTATCAAATATAATTTTGGTGGAATAAGTGTACCATAGCCAGAATATTGGGTTTGAATTTCAGTTCAAAATATTCATTCTACATCATGTATAGCTAATTAAAAAACTATAATCTATGGAGCTTTGTACAGGGATTTGATTTATTTTTTACAATAGGATAAAACATTAATAAATAAAACATTAATATATAAAACACTGAAAAAGGAATCTGCTTATCTTAGAGAGTAAATGAAAGTTCATTACTGTAGTTATATTTGTCAACATGGGAAAAAAAATTTTTTTAAGTGCTGGGTATTGAACCCAGGACAACACATGCTAGGCTAGTATACTCTACAGCTTGAGCCAAAGAACAACATATTTTTAAAAAAAATTACTGGCTACCAAATGGTTCTTGGAGATATTTTGATACTGATTTAGATAAAAAGTATAGAATAAAAATTTAAGAGAACATTTTAAGAGATTAATTTGTTACCAAAGGAAAAGGAGATATACTTACAGATTAGTCCAGCAGTTTTGGATTAAAAAAGCTTAACTAACTCAAAAATAGAAATTTTCTTAAGGATGTTATCCAAAAATAGTATTTGTAGAGTTCATCCTAAGTATAAATACTGCCAAGTATTTTCAAGTTTCTTAAGAGCTCATGTGGATAGTTCATTGAGCCATCAGGTACAATGGTTACTTAGTCTCTTCACACATATACTCTCCTGCTGGCATTAATGGAACAGATTTCAGTTTGCCAGCTTCCCCAGGGAATGATATTGAAGAGCAAAAACATTTTTTTTTAAATCATTGCTGTTAGTTGGAACTGCCATGTCCTACTTGAGAATTTGGGTGAGATATTGTCTTCATTCATTCATTCAATATGTATTTTGTGTATTTTTACTAAGTTGAAGACACTAGTTCATCAATAAATATAGTAATTAAAATAATAGTATTTATTCGATCTTTATACTTTGACTATGGCATTTCTTATACAAAAGTGGTTTCTATAATGCTTTTCACATCCAATTTTCAAATAAGAATGTTTCAGCATTTCAAGTAAAGAGAAGAAATCTAGAGACCAGTTTGAATACTAAAATAGTGATATTTAAATTCCTGTTTCCACCCCTTCAGTAGGCACTTAGTCTCCTCTAAGCCTTCATTTCTGTTTTGCATGTTATTTTTTCTCACTTTTCCATATTTCTGTTCTTTATTCTTTGCTTTCTCCATTCCCTAACATTTAGATAGTAATCCCTCTCTGAATTCTATTATTTAGAATACATTGGATGAATGGGAAAAGGGTAACAAAATGGAAAATGCATTAAAAACATCCAAAGAATAAAAGTTTTCCCACCTGTTTTATGTGGGACAGTGATGTCATCCAAGTAGCATAATTAATGTGTATGAAGTTTTTATTCAAAGAAAAATGAGTTTATGCAGCAGCAATGTCTTTTGATCACAATGTTAGCTGTGTGGGTCTCTATCCATCATTCCACCTCCCCCAATGTTTTCCCTTTGCAACTGATCATGTTCTAAGAAGATTATCCTAATTAAAAGCTGTCATACACAAACAAATATGCATGCTTTGTAAAATGAAATATTTTTGTTTTCTTCTAAAAAAAATAAGTATCTCCAAAATAGAGATGGTTGGCATATATTATTGCCCTATATTCATCTGGTCAAAATGGAAAAATAAAAGGGAAAAATCTACTTATTGAAAATGTGGTTACTACAAATAATTTGCGAACCATTTTCACAAATACTGTTTAACAAATTCAGCACTCGATTAGGTTACTTAATGACACAGTAGAATTATAACTCTTTAAAACAGCCTTTTAATTAAAATGCCCCCTTTCCCTAATGTAATTAGTTTATGTAATGATAATAAAAAAGAAACAATCTGCACAGATGGGTTCCTAAAATCTCTCCTAACAAAGAAGTGCACCACATTGCAATTATCTCCTTATTTTGGTAGATGAGTTACATTCTATTTCTCTAATTCCTTTACTGAGAGTATATTACCATTATTATTTTACCTTTTCCTACATTCTCTTACTTCAGTGGTAGCAGAAATCAAGATTTATATTTATGCTACAAGGATAGAGGTCTGAGCTGCTCTTTTCAGAAGTTGCCATCAATTTAGCTTTTAAGGAGAATCCAGAAGGAGCCATTTATGCACACTCCAGCTGGCACTCTCTTCTAAAGAAATCAATCACAACACCTCTTCAGCAGGCCCAACCTCCCCTAGCCCCAGGAAGGGAGTCCCATGTTTCCTCCCGTACCCAGGTATCCATTTCAACAGCTACACAAACTAGAGCGTTACCACCTGGCTTAATCGCCAGACCTATTTATCATTTTAGTTAATGTGGTCTTCGTAATTCTTGCATTGTGTAATAAGCAATAACAACAGGAAAAAAAAATGACTCCTCTGCATTCAATGTTTCATCATCAGCCTTTCTGTTTTGGCTAAGGAAAGATAATAATTCATTGGCAGGCCAAATTATGGTATTTCAATGAATTCTTTTTCTTAAAAGGTCTTATTTGGGCTACAGAGATCTTTCAAAGTAAACTAAATAGTGTATGTGCTCCAGTCATGGACTTTGCAATATAATAATGCTGTGAAAATAGATTTACCTATGTAAGTTTAAAATAATTTATATTATAATGAGAGCATTAAAATGATTTTGATAGGAGTGGTATGTTGGCATTGAAAAAAATTCGGATTCCAAATTTTTATCAGCCATCCTTCATGGGAGTGAGGTATGTAACTTCAGTAGAGAACCTAGAATATAGGACCTTAAATTCATGCCACGTTCTGCAACTACAAATGTCTGTCTCTGACAAGAATATTTCCCTGAACTCTAGATTTCTAAGTTTACTTTTCTATTTGACATCTGTATAGTACAGAATAAATCTTATCTAAAGAGGGGTGTGGCTTTTGCTATTATGTCCTGGTAGTTCATCTCTAAGTCTTTGAAATGCCTTGTCTAGTATGATTGTCTTTCTTAACTAGGTACCCTGGGCTATGTAGTTTGTGGTAACAGCTTTGGGCCAAGTAGTATCAGCTTAACCTCTGAAGGTGCTGGAGATTGTAAGCCCAATGGGTCATGCCTACATGACCAAGCTGCAAAAATAACTTTGATACCATGGCTCAGGTAGGTTTTCCTGGTTGGCAATACTCTGTGCATATTGTCCCACATTATTGCCTGGAGAAGTTAGCACTGTTCAGCCAATAAAATACTCTTTTTTCTACTTTCACTTACTTCAGCCATAGCTAAATGACAGAACAATTTATAGCTCTGAGTGTGGATTTCTCCTGGACTCTGCCCTTGTACCTATGCCTTAAGCAGATTGTACTCTGTATCCTTTTGCTGTTACAGATTGTAACAGTGAGTATAACAGTTTTCAAAGAACTCTGAACCTTTCTAGGGTTATCAAAATTGAGGTAATCTTT